AACCCTAGTCGAAAACCAGTAGATCCCGATCAAATACACTTTCTTCGTCTGAAAAGCACTGTTAATATTTAAAAAAATACTGGGTTTTGAAGAATTCCTTAGTGATATATTGTGACATGGCTTACCATTTCGAAGGAAATATTGGTTGGAAGGAATTCGTAATAGGGTCTCTCCGGAAACCGAAGGAGGATTGCCGCGTAGGGCAGACTGTTAAGCTGTGCAAAGAAGTCATCGGCTCACCGTCCTGCGACCCCGATAAAACTATGTTAAACTTTGGTCTGTACTGTGACATAATTCAACAGAGCAGGAATTCATACTTCACAAAATAGAGAAAAAATACACTGAACCAAGAGAAAACGTGGCCGGCAGCAACCATAGTATATTTGTGTTGAATTTCGTAGAGTATGGATTCTCGCTTTGATGAATTTTGTTACAGAACAGATGAAAGTTTAGCATAGTTTCATCGGGGTCGCAGAACAGTGAGCCAAGGAATTCTTCGCAAAGCTTAACAGTCTACCCTATGCGGCAATCCTCCTTCGGTTTCCGGTGAGACTACATCACGAAGTCCCTCCTACCAACTTTCCCTTCGAAATCCAATTATTCTTCATATCTTTGATGAATGAATTTTCACGAATTTCATTTAGCCTTGCCTTCCAAAAGGTATTCACATTCCGGCTAGACTGGACAGCAGTTTCAGCCTCGTCTGAACTGATCCCATCAATACCCCCTAGCGGAACTCAACTCCGGCTTTTGACACTATACCCTATAGCCTCGTCAGGCTATTCTACGCCACTTTGCCATGACTGCCCTTGGGTGATAGGACAGATGTGAATTTCCCGTACTCCATTTTTTCGTGAATGTAGATGAAGCAAACTTGCATTTACTATTGCAATCGACTAAATTACTTATGTTCATATTAATTAGGCCTAAAGACTAGCATCAGATACTAAATAAGAGCTGCATTCACCCTGCGTCGCATAAGGAGCTGAGGATTAATAATTGAATTTTTCCAAAATGATATAAGGCTCACATTTTCCTTGAACTTTAATGGTGACCTAGGCGAGGTTGAAATTGCAGTCCACTTCAGCCTGGATGAGAATACCTTTTCTGAAACAAGGCTATGTGAAATTAAATGCAATCATGCTGCCTACTCAGCTGATTATAGGAAAATTCTATCATCAATCCTTCTCCATCTCACAACTAGGCGGAAATACAGCCAATGGTAGTATATGTGCCTACTTAGTAGGAATATCCCTAACAAAAGAAACCAGAATTGTGATATTCCGGCAAAAGGATTCATCGGAGTGCAACTAACCATCCAGATGATGCCACATCCAAGCAACATGTAGAAAAGGTTGGGCTGGCCGACATTAGCCAACCCACGCTTCTGCATCTGGCGCGTAACAGATAACACAGAGTTGACGAGCTGACCAAAATGAGCGCTTAGAGACAGCTCTTCACAATCGGTCGGCTGGTTGTGTGGGACCGCAACAGAAACTGTCTCGTTAGTCTTGCAGAGACGGAGTAAGTCTATTTTGGTCCTCAGCCGGTTGAATTCGGCGGCTGCAAAGGGAAATTTAAGAGTGAATCAAAGGAACGGAATGAAGAATTGGCGAGCACTTTAAAATAAATTATAATCTACAACAAAATAACACAAATTATTGGTATCACAACGGAAGAAAATCGTAAACTTAATTCGTTTCACAACACATCCTCACATGAAGCTGTTAAAAGGCATTCGTAGCTGCTAACAAAACATGCCATCGAACTTCCGACTTCGAAGAAGGTATTTGTGAATTGGCCTTATCGTAACCCAGAGTGGAAGCGGCTCGCAGATGTAACTGTAGTGCAAAAAAATACCTGGTCCGTTATCCTGCAAATACGATCCATCCGTCATGAGGTTTCGTCGGTGTCGCTGTGGCAGACATCATTAGAGCATGGGACCACACTATAAGAAACCGTTTCCAGGCAATCGGTCAAGAAAGGTGGCAAGTTGCAATCTCATCAATATCGAATAGCATAACTCCGTCCGCGATTTTTTTGTTATTTCATTATTTTCATACATGCTTGAAGATCAGAGCAGTGTGAACTGGAGTTGTTTGTGAGTCAAAAGCTGTTTCCTCTCAGAAATCACCTGTATTATAGTGCAAAATATTCACACATTCACTTGTATTCTTTCGCATGCGTGTTGTGTATATGCAACTTTGACGAATCATGTGCAGTATGTGGCTGTAATTATTTCCCCACTTCCATTTGGTGGCTCGTCATACTTTCACCTCCCCCTAAACCTTCTTAACAGACTCGAATATGTTTGATGTCTCGTATTGGCCACGTGCTCAGCCAATTGAGAGTATGTACTTCGACAGCCTGTCCCTTCTCTCAAACATGGATATTATCACATAAGCACAAAACTCTGTGGTACGTCAATCTAGAAAGGTGGCCCGTAAATCCTCGAAAAGAAGGCATAACCGAGAGAAGTGTTAGTTTCCATTTATACAGTGTTCTTATTCCCTACTTAATCTGTAGTCCACTACATACTTCGGGAGCTGATAGGACAATAAGTTCAGGAACCCAGAAGAGTGACCATTCGGAAAAGGTTGTCTGATCATAAAACTATACCCAAATGTGTGCAGGTCCCAAGATCACAACTGGCGTAATATATGACTAATACGGGACATCGAACAGAACGATTTAGAATACAAAATTTTACAGAATACGGGGACTTCACAGATAAGCGTTAAATCATGAAGTCTTATAGAAATAAACAAAACAAACATCATGAATAGAATAAATTAGCACAGGAAACTGGATAGGAAAGAGGAGTAGGAAAGGTTACTAAGCTTGAATAGCCTCTGATCTGGTGGGTTTTCTAACGTGGCGCATTACTTGTGAACATTGCAAACAAGCCCAAATACACAA